TATTCATCAATCGTTAAAATGTAGCTGGTGCATTTTTCAGTCCGAAGGGCATTCGATTGAACTCATAATGCCCATACGGTGTTGAAAATGCTGTCTTGCCCTTATCCTTTTTGGCCATCGGAATCTGATGGTATCCCGAGGCTAGATCTAGGGTGGTAAAGTACTTAGCGTTGCCTAGTTGGTCTAGGATATCGGTTATCCCCCTCGTGTGGGCCACCTTGTCGTGGTGAGGGGGCTTAAGGCGGGCACTCTGGCTGGGCGCTGTTGGTGCTATGCGCCGGCAGTTCTCTCGGCTGGAGGGTCCGCCGACTAAGAGCCCACTTGGCCGAGTTACGGCCAGAGTAGGTGGGGGAAGCGATGTCCCATGTCCGATGGACACTTGTCCGGAAGGGCATCGTGGCCCCCCCTACGGACCCCGAGACCATAGGTCTTGGTCCGGGGTGTGACCGCCGGTGTCCTGCGGGCAATTGCTCTTACGGGCACCGGGGGTCGAGGGGAGTCCCCTTTACCGGGCCCCACGGGACTTTTTCCCGGGGGAGCTCGGGGGGGGACGGGGGGGGGCGGACTCTTCGGTCTCCCCATGTTGGGGGGGCCGGGAATCCGTCCCGCCCGAGTAGACGGGCTGTCGGGGCCGCTCGGACGTTTTCCGGGTTAGGGTCCGGCGGGGCTCCGGGGGCGTGCGCTCCGGGTGGGCGGCTGTCGGCGCGTTTTAGCGTCGGCGGCTTCCCGGCCTGGGGCGCTCGCTGCTGGAGTGCCGCCTCTGCCCTTTTAAGGGCGGACGGGGTCCAGCGACTCCGTTAGGGGGGACTTGTTCACCACACGTGTGGCGGACGAGCCCGCCGATCGCTGGTGGGGATGAGGTACCCCTACTTCAAACCTCCGGCTTCCGGGGCCGATAGGGGGGAGCTTGCTCCACCCACCGGACCGGGTCGTCTCCTCCCCGATCCCATTGCACGTCGGTGTTCCGACAGGGATCGGGGGGAGGCCACCGTCTCCATTGCACGCCGGTGTTCCGGCAGGAGGCGGTGGCAAGGGGAGCTCCTCCGTCAACGAGCTCGTCGTGGACGTGCTCGCGGGCGGAGGAGAGCCGGACCCCGGAGGCACTACGGGACGTGGTCCCGGCCGATGGGTGGGCCGGAAGCTACAGCTCCCCGGTGGTTGGACCGGACATGGTCCTCCGATCCTTCCAGTGGGGAGAGACAGACCCTGGGCTAGCCACCTGGGTGGGCTGTCAGACAGCCGGGGATCGGGGCCGCTCGGACGTTTCCGAGGCGGGGCCCGATCACCTGGGGACCGCTGGGGCCGCTGGGACGTATTCCCAGGCGGGGCCCGGTGGCCCGAGGAGTTGGTTGGCAAGTCCGCCGGCCAACACCCGATCCTCCGTGACGAAGCGGTCAGTTCCTGCGTCTGGGGCCGACGTCCCGTTGCTGGGGCGTGCGGCCTGGCGTATGGGGCTGGTCGTGAAGGGCGGAGGATCCGTCGTGTGTGTGCGTGTATACATGGGTCGCGGTCGGCTGCTGGCGGATATTTCCCGGAGACTAAGCAAGGGGGGAGTAGTAAACCCCCCGACCGGGGACGGGCGGTGACGTCTGTACCTGACCTCTGCCGTGGACTACGTGGGTGCGTAAGTCCGGAGTATTCCGACAAAGACCACAGGAAGCGGCAAGTTCAACGTGGGAAAACCGCACCCGCTCGTCTGACTGGAGCCTAGCCGGGAGTTGAAGCCAGTACGCCGGGCGCATGTGTGGAGGGGCTGCATAGCCAGCAGACCCCTCATACCCGTGCGAGGGGGGAGCTCACTCGCGAGCTCTAGCCTGGGGGCAGAGTATGCGGCCGGTCGGTACGGTGCGCGCTCTGCCCCTAGGGTGAGCTTAAACCTTTAGCATCTTTGTGGACCTGGCCCTCTCCAGGATCCTTTTAAGTAGAGTCACAGGGTGGGATAGGGGTGGCTCCCTGACAAGCAGCTTCTCTGCTTCCCACCATTTCACTAGGGTTTGTCTTTCCCGGGGAAGATCCCTCACCGCGGTGAGGGTGCCATGATGGCCGAACCGGATGATAAAATCTCTGCCAGCATGAAGTCCAAAAACAAAAACAACAAACTCCCTAAAAAAGATGCAAAGAAAACGGAGAAGGTGATTCCAGGGGACGCGGCAACGCTCCCGCGTTCAGCTGGGAGAACCAAAAAGCGCTAGAGGAATCGGAAAAGATAGCCGCTGACCTAAGAAAGGCCCGAGAGGAGGCGGAAAACATAACCGTCGAACCTAACAAGGAGGGGAGCTCCAACGTCCCGTCAACATCAACGGGACGAGGCAGGGCAGGCCCGGCTTGCTACAAGAGCAGCCTAGGGAAGTGGCCACCAACACCGGAGATCGAAGTGTTGGAGGGCTCGGATACGGAGACAGAGGACGCAAACAGAACCGAAGTAGTCGGATGGAATCTGGATGCGGAAATGCTGGACGTAGAAGAGGAGCCCAAGGAACGCCGAGGTCGCCCCCCGACCGTCGGCAAGTTCTTGATGATGCGGCAAAGATTGGCTGCATCAAGTGAGGTGAAACTCCTTAAGAACCAAGCCAGGAATCTTGGGGAGATCCTGGACAGGCGCGTTCTCCCTGACTTGAGAGTCAGGAAAAACATCACGCCCGAACGAGAGACGTGTCGCCAGATGGAGTCGATGACTCCGACGCAACTTTCGGCGGAGATGACATGTCATGCAGACGCGGTCATGAAAGTAGCAGACAGGTCCAAGAACCTGAAGGGGACCATGGTACACCAGCTCCTAAAGTCTGCTACCACAATTAGGGCCGGCACAAAGGTCCTAACAGTAAAGGCGACAACCCCTGGAGAAGGGGGGGACTCCGCAGAAGTGGAAAACCTAAGGCGCAGAGTCAGGGAATTGGAGGACCAAGTGCTCCAATTAAAAACCCTGCTCCAGCTGAAACCACAGTTAGAGGGAACTGTGACAACGAGGAAAAAAAAGATACAGAGGCTGGCAGAGTCCTCTGAGGAGGAAGATAACGCACCTCGACCGGACACACCGCAACCGGAAGTGAATACGGAGCGTATGGAAACCCAAGTGGACGAGAGGGCTGATGAGGGACGCGAGCCGCACACGCTGGCATTAAGACCAGCGCTGCGCGGCAAGCAAAAGAAGCTAGAGGGAGTTCCGGAGGACAGGGCTCTCGAAGACGTCAGGAGAGTGCTCAAAGGCGTCTCCGTTGAGAAGATCCTGACGAGAGACGCGAAAAGCATCAGAGAAAACATCGGTAACCTGGTGACAAGATGTGAGGGAGCCATGGCGATACTTCCTCCAGCAGGAGGGAAGGTACCCATTGGCAAACAAGGAAGAGCAACCGCGAACAGCCAACAGGCGAAGAAGGAAATCGCGAAGAAGACCGCGGCAACGGGCCAGGCAACAAAGGGTGTCCAGCCCAAACCGACCAAGGTACAGCCACCAGCCAAGGCAACAGGGAGCTCGCAGAAGCCCCAGGTCAAGACAGGTGGAGGGGGCCAACAGGACGAGGGGAAGGTGATGCAAAGTCAACCGCCGGCCAACAGGGCAAGAGAGGAGACCCGGGGTAACGTGGGACAGAGATCTCGGTCAAAGTCCCAGGGAACTTGGGTCGAAGTCGTGAAGAAAGGCCTGAAGAAAAAGAACGACGCGGGGCCGAAGGCGCCAGCGGCCAAGGGCAACTCGCCTCAACAACAACAGGAGAAGAGGAACGCCCCGGAGAAGAAGGCACAGAGCAAGGCTGGAAGCCAACGGAACCCGAGGACGCAGGCTGTGACCTTGACGTGCCCTCCGGGAACGTACGGAGAGGGGATGCGGCTCATCAGGTCACGCATAAACCTAGAAGAGCTGGGCATTGATGCGCTCAAGCCCAGAAGGGCACAGACAGGGGCGATAATCCTGGAAATTTCAGGGGAGAACGCCAAGGAGAAGGCGGACTGCCTGGCGGAAAAGATGAGAGAGGCCGTCGGCGACAAAGAGGGCGTCAAGATCACGCGTCCTGCGAAGCTGGCGGAAATACGCGTCCGTGATCTGGACGACTCCATCACGGTGGAGGACGTCAAGGAGGCGGTGGCTAAAGCCGGGGGTTGCACGCCCCCGAAAGTCAAAACCGGCGAGATTAAACTCGCCCCCAATGGCCTGGGCACCATATGGGTGCAATGCCCGTTGGTGTCGGCCAAAAAGGCAGCCGCCCTGGGAAGGGTGAAGATCGGGTGGATTGTAGCAAGACTAGAGCTACTGGAAGCAAGGCCCCTAATCTGCTTTAGGTGCCTAGAGAGAGGCCATGTCAGAGCCCAATGCCGCAGCAAAACCGGCCGCAGTGGAGTCTGCTGCAGATGCGGGGCAACAGGACATAAGGCCCAAGAGTGCAGCGCTGAGCCTAAGTGCCCAGTCTGCACGGCGAGAGGATTACCGGCCAACCATAAGGCCGGGAACAAGGCCGGGAACAAGGCCTGTCCGATGCCATCGAAGAAGGCACTTAAGAAGAGGAGACGCGAAGAGGGCCAACAACAGGCGAAACCGCAGACCCTGCGGAATCAGGCTGTGGGCCACCAAGCGAACCCGGAGGCAATGGAAGTAGATGCTCCCGCAATGGAGACGGACGCTCCCGTACCTCTGGAGCAGAGGCAGCCCAGAGTAGTGTTACTTCGGGCTGATACACGGCAGCGAGAGAAAAAGGGCCAGGAGGAGGCTAACGCGGCATCATCTTCATGCCCTTAAGGATCATCCAGGCAAACATAAACCACGCCCGCCAGGCGCAGGACCTGCTCTTGCAGGCCATTGCGGAGCGTGGTGCAGGCTTGGCCATTGTGGCGGAGCCGTGGAGGGTGCCGGATCACCCATGCTGGGCGGTGAATCCGGAGAAGTCTGTAGCCATCCACTGGAGACGAACGAGGGAGCAGCACGTACCATGCTGCAAAAAGGGCGAAGGACCAGGTTGGGTGATGGTGGAATGGGGCCCCCTACTGGTTATAGGGTCTACCTTAGGCCCAGCCTGTCACGCGCGGAGATGGAGGAGCGATTGGAGGATCTGGAGCAACAGATCCGAGCATCCCTGTCGAGGCCAATACTGGTCGCCGGGGACTTCAACGCCAAATCGGCGCTTTGGGGTTCCCGGCGGCTGAATGTCAAGGGCGCGGAGGTGGAGGCTTGGGCAGGTGAGCCTGGGCCTCCATCTCATGAACACAGGCGCAGCAAGTACGTGCGTTAGGCCGCAGGGAGAATCAATAGTGGACATCACTTGGATCTCCCCTGCGGCCACTAGAATAGTCGCGGCTTGGAGGGTGGCGAAGGATATCGATCTCCTCTCCGACCACCTTCCACTGGAGCTGGAGGTCCGGCTGGCTCCTGTAGGAGGGGAAGGGCCTGGAGACAGGAGACCACTCAGATGGTCAGCTAAAAAGATGGATCCCGACAAGCTGCAGGCGTCCCTGGCAGCAGAAACCTGGGTCCCGAGGGCGCCGCTGACTCAGGAAGGAGACATCGAAGAGGAGGCGAAATGGCTCAGGCAGGCCATGACACGAGCATGCGACTGTGCCATGCCAAGGGCAACTTTCTCCCCTAGAAAGGCCACATATTGGTGGTCTGAGGAGATCGGAGACCTGCGAAGGGAAGTTATCCGGGCAAGGAGGAAGGTCCAAAGGGAGAGTAGGAGATCGGCCATCGACCAAGGAATCCTGGACACTCTTCTGGCACAGTGGAAGGAGAAGAGGGCGCAGCTGAAGAAATCGATCCTAGCGGCAAAAGAGAAGGCCTGGGAGGAGTCGATAAACAGCTTAGAGGAAGACCCCTGGGGGCGCCCTTACAAGTTAGTCCTGGACAGACTTAGTAAGGGTGCGCCCCCAACGGTGGAGACGCTGGAGCCGGCATTCCTCGAGGGGGTAGTTCACACACTATTCCCAGCAGCGGGGAACAGCGACTCGGCACTGACGCCGGGGGAGGGTATCTTGGCCAACGACGAGGAGGGGGAGGAAGAGTGGCGAGAGGACCTGGAAGTCTCGGGCCTTGAAATTGCTAAGGCGATTAAGAAGCTAAAAACGGGCAAAGCCCCCGGCCCGGACGGGATTCCAGGGGTCGCTTGGAAGGCGGCAAAGGGGGAAATGGCGGAAAGACTAGGTGAAGTCATGACCGCCTGCCTCAAAGCAGGATACTTCCCGCAACTATGGAAGGAGGCGAAGCTGGTCCTCATTCCGAAAGAGGGAAAACCGGCGGAGCTCCCGTCGAGCTACCGCCCCATTTGTCTACTCGATGAGGCGGGAAAGGTGTTCGAGAGGGTAGTCACCTCTCGGCTTGTTCGGAGTCTGGAGGACGGAGAGGGAGAGGGCCTCCATGCGCGGCAATATGGCTTCAGGGAAGCCAGGTCCACAGTCGACGCGATTAAGTGCGTTCGGGCCCATGTGGACGCGATAACCGGGGGAGGGGGAGTCGTCATGGCGGTGGCGCTTGATATATCAAACGCCTTCAACTCCCTCCCCCATACCGCGATAAGAAGAGCCCTACTAGAGAAGAGGGTTCCCTCGTATCTGCGAAGGACGATAGGGCGATACTTGGAGAACAGGACGATAACCTGTGTCGACAAGAACGCGGAACAGAGAAGGTGGAACGCGGAGAGTGGCGTCCCGCAGGGCTCGGTCCTGGGACCAGTCTTGTGGGACGTTGCGTACGACGAGGTCCTCCGGACCGCCCTGCCCTCCGGCTGCACCATGATCTGTTACGCAGACGATACATTGGTGCTAGCCGGGGGGCGGGACTGGAAGGTTGCCGTCGATACGGCAAACATCGCCGTCGCATGCGCAGTACGCGCCATCAAGGCGCTGGGACTGTGTGTGGCGGCAAAAAAGACGGAGGCGGCATTTATGCACGACGGGACGCACGGACCGTCTCCGACAGCGCACCTCGTGGTAGACGGGGCACGAGTCGATGTGGGGACTCAGATTAAATATTTGGGTCTCCACATCGACGAAAGGTGGAAATTTGAGGGGCATATCCTCAGAATGGTACCCAGGGTACCCAGGTTGGGCATGGTGGCCAACTCATTGTCACGTCTGATGCCCAACCTGGGAGGCCCTAGTGGGCGGGTCAGGAGGTTGTACGCCGGCGTGGTACACTCCATTATGTTGTACGGGGCTCCAGTATGGTCCAGGGCGGTGCAGGGCAACAGGAAGGCCTCGGCGACCCTGCTGCAGGCACAGAGAAAAATGGCGATACGTGTGACGCGTAGTTATCGCACCGTATCGCACGCCGCAGCGACGTTGATGGCGGGAATCCCCCCGGCTGACCTCCTGGCGGAGGCATATTCGGAAGCATACGACCGGATCGCCCGCCTGAAGGAAGAAGGGGTCCCAGTGACAGGGAGGGTAAGGAGGTGTATTAACCTCCAAGCGAAGGAGCGGATGAGGGAGAAGTGGAGGACTCGGCTCTCGAAGCCGGGCTCCGCTGGGCAAAGAACGATACAGGCCATTCTCCCAAATCTGGATGCCTGGCTTGACCGTGCGTGGGCCAGGGCATCGTACAGGACAACGCAGATATTCTCCGGGCATGGCTGCTTTGGAGAATATCTGCATAGAATAAAAAAGGAACAGACACCCGTCTGTTTCCACTGCGGGGACGCGGTGGATACGCCGACCCATACTCTGGAGACCTGCCCTGCATGGGAGGCCCAGAGAAGGACCCTCACGGGTGTTATTGGAGCGGACCTCTCACTTCGGAGGGTGGTGGAGGCAGTAACGGAAGGGGAGCCGGCGTGGAGAGCGTTCTCCTCCTTCTGTGAGCAAGTAATGCTGCAGAAGGAGGAGGCGGAGCGCATCCGTAGGGGGGAAGTCGACCCCCCTCCGGGGACGCAGAGAGGAGGTACGAGGGTGCATAGGAGGAGAGGAGTTCCGGCGCATCTACGTACATGAGTGCAATGAGGGGGGTGGCGGCCCGTAACGGGCAACCACCTGCTCTCCCAACGCGTTTCCCAGGAAATGCAGAGTGTAGGGGGGCAACGCGGCGCCCAAGCTGCAAACCAAGTGCCCGCCGGAAGGAGGAGGCTAATGATGGACCCGCAAGGGCCCAGGTACAGCAGAAGTCGGACTATCGGCTCATCGAGGAGATGGTCTGGCGGAGGGGGGGGGTGGGATTCGTGGGACGGCTGGCCCCGCCCTGAGGGGCGGCGTCAGTACGCCTGCTACCTCCCCCCCTCCCCCAGACTGGACCACAGATCACAAGATCGGGAAAGAGGGGTGATTTCCCTGTACGGCGTCCGGGACCCGCCAACGAATAGGCCCGGGGTATCTCCTGCCTGTCGTAAGAGGCGACTAAAAGGAGAAACAATCTGGGAAACAGGGAAATCCCAGGGGGCGGGTCAGGGGCTGAGGACCCCTGGCTCGCCCGCCCCCAGAACATCTAGAGGGCACGGCGGGGGCCCGGTGGCACCCCCGCTGCGGCGCGTACACTGCGCCAGATGAACGCCCAAGAACGGGTGTGGCTCAGCTTGAGCCAAGAGGGGCGCACCACGTCAAGGTGCGCGGCGCCGAACCGGCCTGGAAGATATGCGTCGCAGGCCCCGGCTGGTTCAACATGGCGCTGAGAAGACCACCCCCGGTGGTTTTAGTGCGGTAGGCGCCCTCCATTGCACGCTGGCCCCAGGTCGCTAATTGCCTGGGGTACAGGGAGGGCGAGTCCCACACACCCCCTCCGTTTCCGTCCCAGCGGAACGGGGGGACGGTCCATGAGGATTTCCACCGGGTCAAAAAAAAAGGATATCGGTTATGTTGGGCAGAGGAAACGAGTCTCCTATTGTTACCTCATTTAATTTTCGGAAGTCGATTACAATCCGTAGCTTTGGCTTGCCTGATGCGTCAGCTTTTTTCGGCACTACTAACAGAGGTGCGTTCCATTAACTCGTACTCGGTTGGATTATTTGTTGGCGTAGCATTTCTTCAATTTGCCGACTTACTTCGGCCGTGTGTTTCTCCGGTAACCGATACGGTCTCACGTTTACGCTCGGTGAATTTATTTGTGTGGTCACCTCGTGTTCTACTTGAGTTGTGTGTGTCAGCATATCTCCTTCTAGGTGGAAGATATCTGCGTACTCAGCGCATACAAGGGGTGATAAAAAAGAAACCGGACTGTGGTCCACCACGCGCAAACCACTTGACCTATTGAAACCGGACAGGTTGTGCCATCTAGCGGCATCTTTAAGCACAAAGCGCCAACATCCGCGTCGCTCTATGTTTATTTGTTGACCAGCAGCAGTTATTCCTGTCAGAGCCTGCACGGCGTTGTATAAAATGGATTGGCAGGGGCTGATTTGTTTTGAATTTGTCCCTAAGGGTCAGACCGTCAATAAAGAATATTACTTGCAAGTATTGAAGAGGCTGAGAACAGCAGTGGCCCGGAAGAGACCGGAAATGTGGGCGAACAAGACGTGGAGCTTCCACCACGACAACGCACCGACACACACTGCGCTCTTGGTGACCGAGTTTTTGGCCACAACGGGAACAGCGGTGATCCCCCAGCCACCCTACTCTCCGGACTTGTCTCCTGCAGACTTTTTTTATTTCCGAAGTTAAAATCCACCTTGAAAGGACGCCGATTCGACACCATTCAGGACATTATTACCAATTGTACGGCCGACTTGAAGAGGATTCCTAAATCGGCGTACGAGACGGCTTTCGAAAGTTGGAAGAAGCAGTGGCAGCGCTGTGTGGCTAGCGAAGACATGTACTTCGAAGGAGGCGAACTCGATTAAAATGTATCAATCGAAATAAATGAGTTATTCGACCAGTCCGGTTTCTTTTTGATCACACCTTGTATGTCTGTCGGGGTTTCCTTTTCTTCCTTATTTAAATGTTCGATACACAATAATTTAATTATGCGTTCCTCGCGTGGGGGAAAAATTTTTTCTTCCTTATTGATCGTAGCGACATTTATTTGTTCCGGGCTTGCGTCATTAGTCACTTTCTCTATTTCGTCTATTGCGACGAGTGGTAGCTGCATCTCTATTTCCTTCTCATTGGTATTTATGATACTTACGGGATAGCTATAATTTTCGGGCTTAACCAAACAGTTTTCGATAAAAATGCCGGGAGAAGTCTCTTCTCGTTTAGTTATGCCTATAGTGTTGCAATTTGTGGTGACG